TCTCTCCCTTAGAGAAACAAAATAGCAAGAATTCTATTACAATAGTTTTTTCTTTCTCAAAGATAGTAAGATAATGACCATTTCTTATTACCAGCATTTTATAAGTAAAGGAGCATTTTAATTCCAAAAATGTAAAAAGCACATCATCTCAGAGACTTAAAAATGGCATTTTTTTCTCAAGTAAGGGCGTGTAAAACCCTTACACTGGTTAGGTGAAAATGTGACCACAGCCCACCCAGCACAGATGTTGAGGGTTCCTGGGTTAGAGTTTAGGACTCTTGTGAAAAACAGAGAGCGAGACAGCTGAAGCCACACTGTTGGGAGTTTGGAATGATAGGCCAAGGATGATGTATTCCGGTGAGAAAAGTTAAAAATAAGGCTTTTAAGGGAGGCATAAAGGATTAATATGATAATCAGATCTATGCTCTAAAACTAATTTGCTTGAAGCAAATTAGTAGAATGGAATTGTGGAAGGACGCTGCCCAAATGATACTGGAAGTGGTCGGGGCACTGAGGAGGAGATGGTAAAGTCCAAGAGAGAGGTATGGAGGGCCTCAATTAGGGTGGCAGAAGAAAGAATGGAAAGCACTTGGAAACAAATTGTATGTAAGAATTGGGGAAAAGAGTCAAAGATGACTTCCGTGTTTTGATCCTAGATGCCTAAAAAAAAAAATGATGAAAGGGTCAAAAATATACATGACAATTCATGAAAGGGTGCTAGATAAAAGGAAGAAATGAACTGACTGTGGGGTGGGATGCACACAGAGGAGTCTTGAGAGAGGCTGGAAAGAGGAGACGGGAAGTTGGGTAGTCACACATGGAAGGGGGCAGGCAAGCTTAGCTCCATCACCACGTGGGAGCTTTTGAGCACTCACACACGCCTAGGACTGCAGGAGGAACTAGGGATATAATGAGAACCATAACAGATCTGGTATGTGCACTTGTGGAGTTTACAATCAGGCAGAACAGACGGACATTAATGCAACAATCACACAGATGGACCTAACTACAAATTTTATTAAAGTGTCTAATTTCTTTTTTTTTCTTTTTTTTTTTTGAGATGGAGTTTTGCTCTTGTTACCCAGGCTGGAGTGCAATGGCGCGATCTCGGCTCACTGCAACCTCCGCCTCCCGGGTTCAAGCAATTCTCCTGCCTCAGCCTCCCGAGTAGCTGGGACTACAGGCGTGCGCCACCACGCCCAGCTAATTTTTGTATTTTTAGTAGAGACGGGTTTCTCCTTGTTGACCAGGATAGTCTCGATAAATTGACCTTGTGATCCACCCGCCTCGGCCTCCCAAAGTGCTGGGATTACAGGCGTGAGCCACCGTGCCCGGCCTAAAGTGTCTAATTTCTAAAGGAAAACATAGAGTAGAGATACTTGGAAGTGACTTCCATTAAAAGGCAAAATGGGACCACCAGTGGAAAGGGGAGGAGCAGTTAGAAGAGCAGGAATTATGCTAAAGCAGACAATTCCTGAAAGCCAAAGGAGGAATGAGTTTCAAGGAACAGATAATAAACAGTGTGAAATGCTGCTGAGAGGCCAAGACAACAAGGACTGCCAGACTGCTGTTAAGGAGGCCATAATGACCTGAGTGCAGTTCTGAAGGGGGCTAATGAGTGAGGAAACAGGGGACAAGACTTCTCTCTTTTAAGAAATTAAACAAAGGAACACGGAAGGGGAAAAGGGGAGATGGGTGACTTGAGAAAGTAGCGAATGTACAGGATTTCCTAGTGAGAAGGAGGATGATTTCAAAAGGGTTGAAAGCAGAGCAGAAAGGGCACGTAGAGAACCAGACAGAGAAGACAGGATGCAGGAGGGAAGGGAACGACTGCCAGGGCCAGCTCCCGGAGAGTGGGAAGGTATTACTACATCAAGCATACCGATCGACAGGTTAGCACTGGCTCCTTGGAGAGAAGGGAGAAAGAAACAAGGGAAGGTGAAAACACCAAGAAATTAGGAATAGTGAGAAAGGATGCTGAGGACCGACTTGTTAGGGAGCTGAGGATCTTTTCAGGAAAATGAGTGGAAGAGGGGAGTCTTCTGCTATGATTTTAGTGAAACACCAACAGCTGCCACTTAAGGAGACTGCTAGGGGCTATCAACTGCACAGTCATTAAAAAAACATTACTGAGGGTCTTCTCTGCACCAGGAACTGTACCTTTATGTGTGGCATAAATGAAGTTAGCGGGCATTTATTACTATAGGTAAATATTCTGGGTAAAAAAAGAAATGGGCTGATTTGATTGCTCTCACATCTAGAAAAAGACCATAGGCACTAACAGGTGGTAATTACAAATGCTTTGAAGCTTATGTACATGCTAATGGGGGAGATATCACTACTGCAGGAGCCTAAGAGTCAATCCAGAAGGAAATACATGGTGTTAGTTCATTTATTCCACAAACAGATACTGTGTGCCTGAGCACCAGATAAAGGAGCTCTGAAGAAGCCAGTGACAGTTCCTGTCCTTCGGGCGCTTCCAATCCGGTACAACAGGCCCTGAAAGCTCCGGCTCTTCCACCATCTAGGCACATTTCACTGCTTTTACTGCACATGAGCTGTACTCCCCATCATAATCTGTATGCTTTATTAGAAAGTACAACTCTCACCATCTGAACATTTTTTACAAGATACTTTTCTGAGTACATCAAAATTTTAGGGAATAGGCTGGACCAGAGGGTTTCATGGCATTGTTTTTCAGTGCCATTAAACTTTAAAATGAACGCTCTTCAAACTGCTTTTAAAATCATAAATCAAATGTGTCACTTCTTATGAACCTGACATGTTTTCAGAGCAAAGAAATGTGTGGGCCGTGTGCGGTGGCTCACACCTGTAACCCCAGCAATTTGGGAGGCCGAGGCAGGCAGATCACCTCAGGTTAGGAGTTTGAGACCAGCCTGGACAACATGGCAAAACCCCATCTCTACTAAAAACACAAAAATTAGCCAGGCACTGTGGCGGGCGCCTGTAATTCCAGCCATTCAGGAGGCTGAGGCAGAAGAATTGCTTAAACCCAGGAGGCGGAAGTTGCAGTGAGCTGAGATGGCGCCATTGCACACCAAGCTGGGCAACAAGAGCAAAACTCTATCTCAAAAAAAAAAAAAAAAAAAAAAAGTGTCACTTCCCTGAATGTAACCCTTTGAACTATAATCAGAACAAAATCTGTCCTCCTTACTTACACTGGCTTGAGGCCCTTCCTGCCCTTGTCCCTACCAACTATCATCCGTGTGTGCGTGCATCCTTTATTTATTTATTTATTCTTTTAGACAATGTCTCTCTCTGTTGCCCAGGCTGTAGTTCAGTGGTGCCATCATAGCTCACTGCAGCCTTGACCTCCTGGGCTCAAGTAATCCTCTGACCTCAGCCTCGTGAGTAGGTGGGACTACAGGCACATGACCACATGAGCTAATTTTTTTTATTTTTTTGTAGAGATGAGGTCTCTTTATGTTGCCTAAACTGGTCTTGAACTCCTGAGCTCAAGTGAGCCTCCCGCCTCAGCCTCCCAAAGTGCTGGGATTATAGGTGTGTGCCACTGCGCCCAGCCCTCATTCTTGTATGAGAAAAAGTGTTAAAGGCGGGAAATCATACTTTATGCACATTTATTTTCCTAAATCTCTTGAGACAGTTTAAAGATGAAAAAGAAATTAACAGCACATATTGATACTGTAAAAGTATGATTAATGGCTTTTTTGAGATGAAAGTATCATCTTCATTATTAGGGAAAGAAAAACCTATTTACTAACTTTCAAGTTGGGCAATTTACTCCATTAAAATCAGCTAACGTGTTTTAAGATTTAATGTATTGTTCGAATTCATGTATGCAAACAAACTCATTAAAATTCAGGAGATTTCACTCAGAAACTCACTGTACTTAAAATTCAGGGCCCTTACCAGAGGGTATTGAACTAGAATATTTAAATGGAAACATTTGTCCCTTCTAGACGGGGTATTCTATGCTGTTTTTTGTTTATGTTTTCATCCAAAGTGGTAATTCAAGATGCCCTGAGAGTCTGCAGCAATTGGAAGAAGTTGCTCCTTATATTACACTAACACGCTGCACCGAGGTCAAGGGCTGATTTTTTTTTTTTTTTAAGACAGAGTCTTGCTCTGTCACCCATGCTGGAGTGTAGTGGTGGGATCTTGGTTCACTGCAACCTCTGCCTCCTGGGTTCAAGTGATTCACCTGCCTCAGCCTCCCAAGTAGCTGGGACTACAGGAACGTACCATACCACCATACCCAGCTAATTTTTTGTATTTTTAGTAGAGATGGGGTTTCAACATGTTAGCCAAGATGGTCTCGATCTTCTGACCTCATGATCTGCCTGGGTCAGCCTCCCAAAGTGCTGGGATTACAGGCGTGAGCCACCACAGCCAGCCATCAAGGGCTGATTTTCAACGCCTCCTTACGCCAGCTGATGTAAGGGATAATCATTGTCACTCTGGGGATGAGTTTGAAGACAAATATTTCTAATTATAGCTTTGTAAAATGCATGCACTCCTAAACTTTATTAAGAAGTAATTTTCTAGAAAACTGATATACATTCCTTTAAGTAACCAAAATGAATGCTTCCATTCATATTTTGTATGGAGCTCATCCTAACAGGTGCTTCTTACATTACCTGGATAAAATGAAAACCCTCACCAAATACTGAGCCTGACTGCACGACAGGCCCTGTGCTTCATTAATGCTTTACCACAGTACTTCACTCAGCTGGCTCATGACAATGCTCTGCAGAGAAGAGGAATTAGGAGACCACGTAGGTTAAAGAACTCACCAAGGTCATCCAGCTGGTAAGGAGTGGCACCCACAATTCACCCTGCACAATACTACCTCCCTGAAGATAATGAATCAGAAAAAGTATTTCTGAGTCACTGTTGGGACAGAAAAAAGTATGGGGTGACAAATGGATTCTGGAACTAGACTTTATTAGCTATATGATCTTGAAAGGTTATTCAACCATTCTGTACCTCAGTTATCTCATTCAGAAAACGGGGATAACAGGCCGGGCGCGGTGGCTCAAGCCTGTAATCCCAGCACTGTGGGAGGCCGAGGCGGGTGGATCACGAGGTCAAGAGATCGAGACCATCCTGGTCAACATGGTGAAACCCCGTCTCTACTAAAAATACAAAAAATTAGCTGGGCATGGCGGCGCGTGCCTGTAATCCCAGCGACTCAGGAGGCTGGGGCAGGAGAATTGCCTGAACCCGGGAGGCGGAGGTTGCGGTGAGCCGAGATCGCGCCATTGTACTCCAGCCTGGGCAACAAGAGCAAAACTCCGTTTCAAAAAAAAAAAAAAAAAAGAAAACGGGGATAACAGAACACAACTAAGGCACTGTTGTGAGAATTAAATGGCTCAATCCATGAATAATATTAATGACTAGAACAGTATTTGGTATACAGTAAGCACTCAATAAATGTTAACTCTTATTAAAATCAAGTGCTATAACAATGAAGCAAGCCCCCAAAGATTACCAAGGTTCTTAACAGCTGTCTGGACCTGCCCTCAGTCAACTAGGGACTGATTTCGTTCATACACATTTACACACACTCTTTGTGTGTGCTTCCCATGTGCCAAACATATCATATACACAATAACAGCATTCAATTCTCAAAAAAAAAAAAAAGTCCTGCAAGGGAGTTACTATCCTTCTCATAATAAAGACAATGGTTGAATAATTTGTCCAAGGCTCTCAAATAGGAAGTAGTAGAATGAGAATTTGAACTTTGGAGTTTCTATCTCAAAAGCCCAAGTTCTTTATCTACACCATTATTTTGAGTCCTTATGTCTACTTTTTCCATTTTGTCAGTGACTCCATTGGTGATAACTTAGGACCAGAGTTTTGACAGAGACTTTACAGTGTATCTAGAACATTTCCTTTTTACACATGAAGAAATAAAAGCCCAGGAAGTTTACTGTGGACTTATCTGAAGTCATATACTGAATGTCATTTCCATAGTCCCATACTGCCACTTTTTCTTCTCTGATGTTGGTGGCCTGCCTCCAAGAGGCTCTCAGCCCTGCTCCTAATCTTTTTGGGCCATAGAGAAACCAATGATCACTGCATAAATCAAGACTAGAAAGGCTAAGGTAGGGCTCAGAGGCTTCCCTATGAGGGAAGCTCACGAGTTTTATCAAGTGGACTCTGTTATATCAAAAGTCAAGCTGCTTAGGCTTCTCTGCTTTCTGGCTCACAGTGGCATTACGGAGACTTAAACAAATCAGGTGTTCATCTAGTTTACAATGCCACTGTGTCTGTGAGGAAAACTTTGCCAAACAGGGTTTTTACAAACAAAAGCTACAGTAGATGCAATTTCACCCTCAAATAGGAGGACAGGCTTACATGAAGCCTTTGGCAAGGAAGGAAGCTCACAATTAAGGTAGCTGTTCCTAGCACTTAGTAGTCTAAGGCCAACGGCATGCAAGCATAACAAACCAACAGGCCCCATGTGGACAGCAACACTGAGATTTCTGATATCATTAGTTTCCTTTTCACAAAAGAGTCAGATTCATAATTAAACTCTGTGCTCTCCTGTCTCCATTCTGCTGTGCACATATTTGACTGCTTCCTAAGGGCCTGAGTTAGAAGCCAGAAGACAGCCCAAAACCACAAGCCCACTGACCTCTGGAGCCCCAGAGGGAACTTGATGCATGTTTGCATTAGCTATTACCCAGGCTTGTCCAAGAAGAGGTTGATCTCATCTTTTCACTCAACATTCTTTTCAAGGGTTTGCTGGCCAGTTTAAATAGTTCTCACAGACCACTGAAAAGGACTGGTCCTATGGCTAAGGGCCCAACATACTGAGTCCCGTGGAAAACTCCAGCACCTGTTTTGAGAGGAACAGGCTGTTGCACACACAGTGCAGTCCAGAACTGAAGTGCGAGGCTCATGTCTTGGCCCCTCTAGCTTCTTACTTGATTAATCAAGTCAATTAACCTCTCAGAACTTTAGTTACCTTGTCTAGAACAAGGAGATAGCATCTTCTACCTTATATGATTATTGAGTATATATAAAGTAATAACATAAGTTCTTTTTTCTTTTTTTAACAAGGTGGGGTTTCTCCATGTTGGTCTGGCTGGTCTCAAACGCCAACCTCAAGTGATCCACCTGTCTAGGCCTCCCAAAGTGCTGGAATTACAGGTGTGAGCCACCGCGCCTGGCCAGTGAAAGTATTTTGTAAATGGCAAAGGTCCAAGTGAAGGGAAATGTCTCTTTCTTTCTTTTTTTTTTTTTTTTAACACATCTTATTTTATTCAGATAGCAGTCTGATCACACGTGGTCCAACAACACTCAAATAATAAATCAAATATAACCAGATGTTAAAGATTGGTCTTCAAACATCATAGCCAATGATGCCACGCTTGCCTATGATCTCTCCAACATAAAACCACATCAACACCTCAGTGGCCACCAAACCATTCAGCACAGCTTCCTTAACTGTGAGTTGTTTGAAGCTACCAGTCTGAGCGCTATTGACTATTTCTTTCAGGCTCTGAATAGCTCTAGGGATCTCAGCAGGGGTGGGAGGAATCAGCTCAACCTTGGCATAGTACCAAAATGTGGCCAACTGAGGCTTCGAATAAGTCACAGCAGCGTTCACCAGCGCCGGGGTCTTCTCCACAAGGTTACGGATAAATTGGGCCATGGTTCTGGGATGGAAAGTCCATCGCCCCAAATGGCCGGCTGAATGTCACCCCCCCGGAAGGACCCACTGCCGGAAATGTCTCTTAACGTACTAATCAGCCTCCCCATGTATGATCCCACAGTGGCTCCCTACTGCTCCCGGATAAAGTCCAGACTCTTGAATAAGGTTAGAAGCACTTCTACCCTCTAATGACCCAACTTCGCCTCTTGTCACTTCTGTCATTTACCTGAGGCATCAGCCGAACAAGATGTCTTCAAGTTCCCCCTTCAAGGGCTATGCGGTCTCTCTGGTGGGCAGAGAGCCTCCCTCCTTACTCTCTTCTGTTCTACCCAACTAACTCCTCCTTCGGGTTCCAATCTGAGCTGAGATGTAATTCCCTCCTGGCAACCTTCCCCAACCTCTCCTCTGCACGCTCATAAACACTTAGATTTACTCCTTTGAAGACCTTTTCATCATTGTGTTAAAATTGCCTGGACACTCCCTAACTCTCTCCCCTTTCAAAATTTTGCAGACCAAAAAGTGTTGAATGAGTGAATTTAGTGAGAATGACCATGACCTAACGTTTGGCATGAGTAGCTGACTAACAAACCACTACAGTATCCCTACCCCCAACTTCCTAAGCAAGGAGGGAAAGGGGTTCTTGGAGTTCTAGTTAAGAACTCACCTACCCCCAGCCACTCCCTTTTAACCCCAAAGCAAAAGGCTAATCAAGGGCCGAAGATGTACTTGCATTCCAGATCTCCTAGTCCAGTTCCTTTCTGTTCTCCCACAAAATGTTAACTACACCCAGACTGTATGTCAAACCATCACTGTCTTTTCATAGCAAGAGAAATAAAGGCACATGGGGTGTAAGAGAAAATAGATTTGAAATTTAAAAATGAATGTTCAATGTCAGGTATTGTGTGACCTTGGGCAACTCCGGTGCCTCTAGGCCTTAGACCCATCATCTGTCAAATGGAAATTTAGCACCAGCAAAGGGCTTCCTATTATTTTAGATTATTTTCCACCTACCTCACCATGAGTTTTTTGTTTGTTTGTTTTGTCTTGTCTTGTTTATCCTTTTGGGGTGATGGGTGTCTCACTATGTTGCCCAGGCTGGTCTTGAACTCCTGGGCTCAAGGGCTCCTCCCTCCTCGGCCTCCCAAAGTGCTGGGATTGCATGTGTGAGCCACTGTATCTAGCCTCACCAGTTTTACAGAAAGAAAATGAGACTATTTGAAAATGCTTTATACATTTCTTCTCAAAGAAATACTTTCACAATTTTCAGGAAGTTATTTTTCTGATGATGTTTAGCTTTATGACCCAAACCAAAGCATTTAAAGAACGGGATTCAAAAACATTAACCAGTCCCTTTAGTACAACAAAGATTTTAGCCAATTTACAAGATCAATACAGGCTTGTTTGAATTAACTAATGCTACTTCTTCCGTCTTCATGTCATCAAAACACTAGTGTCTACCAGTGCAGAGAATCCTCATCCACAATCATTTACTGAAGAAAGAAAAAGACAAACCCTTTTATATACACTGTTTGATTTCACAGACTCACAGAATGCTGCAGCTAGAAGAGATCTGAAGACTGAGGCCTGCACTCACCCTTTGTGATCAGAAAACAGGCTAGTCTGAGGTTTTCAGGAAGGGTTTGTGCCATGAGTAATTCAAAACACAAACCAATTGTTTTTCACAGCCCTACATATTTTTTAAAATAAGAATTAAGAGATAACTTGAAGAAAAACTGGTAAATCATACAATAAGATCACAACAGAAATTTAAAAGGTAATAGTGCTTATCAAAGGTAAAGGCTGGCTGGGGACGGTGGCTCACACCTGTAATCCTAGCACTTTGGGAGGTCGAGATGGGCAGATCACTTGAACTCAGGAGTTCAAGACTAACCGGGGCAACGTGATGAAACCAAGTTTCCACAAAAAATACAAAAATTAGCTGGGTGGGGTGATACACAGGAGGCCACTCATTCCAGCCTGGTGACAAAGTCTCAAAAAAAAAAAAGAAAAAAACAAAGTTGAAGGCTGAACGGCCAAAGTAAAGACATACCTCTGATGATATTATATATACTTATATATGAAAGTTTTTCAACTTGATTATAATGGAATTTTGTGTATGTGAAAGAAATTATTTCACTTTTTCCACAAGTTTTTCATGCTTCTAAAAGGTTGGAAATTTTCAAAACAATGTAGACAAAATAGGGAATGCAATTACTCAAATTATTTTGTTTGCAGACAACACCCTGGTCTGTGTTCATTACTGGTTATGACTGAGACTGGCACCAATTTTTTAAAATCATCTAGTTCTAAACAATATAAAGAAATATAGAAGTCAAAGGTCACTATTAATTCTCAAACTATTCTACAGAGAAGTTTCTAACTCTTCACCCAACAGTTTGCTCCAACTGCTGACAAAAGCAAAAAGACACTGAACCAAGTAGCCAAAGAAACGGATGGAGGAGGGGAGATGTTTTCATTTCTCTCTCCCCAGACTAATCCCCTCTCCTTAAATCTTGGTATGGGTGAGGTGCTAAGGGACAATGAAATAATAAAGTGGTTGGAATCATTCCGAAAGTAAAGCACTTGGCTCTCAATAAAAAATTATTTTCCATGCTCTATCAAGATTTTACTCAGAGATCTCTAGAAGAGAAAAAGTAAAAGACTCCTTGTTGAAAACCACAAACAGCGATCACATCCACATTTATAAGCAATAAACAAATTACAGAAGGGTTAGTCACTGACATCTCACAACACAAACTCTTTTTCTTGTAATGGATTTGGTGTATTCACATGTATGTGTGTGTAAGGAGATTAGAGTATGCTGCAATATCCATCCCAGATTAACAAATATTGCGTAAGAAATGAATTTACAATTCAACTTTTAATAAATCATCCAATATTTCACATTAAAACTTGATCACACATCTTCAAAGATTGTCTTTCCACTTTATACATCAGGATATTATCTATGATTTATTAAAATAATTACCACCAAGTTCTTTGCAAAAGTGCAAAATTATAACGTGATATGGGAAGCCACACCAGTCCTAGCTCTGCCAGCAGAAGGCCATGCAATACTACACGTTGCTTAACAGCTCTGTGGATGGTTTTTAGCATGATGAAGTGGGATTCCACACCTAATTCAGCTTTTGCAATGTGCTTTGAAATCCTGCAGTGCTACCAGGAGACCACAAGCAGCACCATTACTCAGGCTTTCTCAGTGGTAGCAAGCCCAAATGTGATGAACATGAGAACAACCAGAGTGTTGGCATTCTCCCTGAGAGCCAAGAATTAAAATTCGGGGCTGAGGAAGATTAGAGCTCCCTGGAAAATGTCCAAAGTTGTAGTAACAGGTAAATACCAAAGTGCTTAATTAAACTAATGCTAAATGCTACAAGTAGGACAATAAGAAAATACTTCCTTCACAGCTAAGTAAGCTGCTGTGGAGAACTGTTTCCACCACTTTACGTAGCTTCCCAAAGTCCAAAGCAACTAGGTAACTTTTTCTGAAAAGCCGATTTGTTTCTTCCTCTAAGGACAATCAGGTGCCTACCTCCTTTCAGGTTCTTATTAATTCAACTGGAAATAAGAAAAATCCCAAAACACAAAACTGAACATAGGAAAAGGGCACCTCTCCAGACATACTATATCTAATCATTATTTACTAATAATATTACTAATACTGAAATTTAGCCATAACATGTTAGACAGCAAATAGCTACCTATTCATTTTAGAAAACAGCAAATGTATAGGAAGTTGCCACCCTCCCTCTCTTTCCCTGTTGTCTATGGCAGACAATAGGAATCCATCACAGCCCTCAGCCATGCTGAGCTCACTGGGGACCTCAGAACTGAACAGAACATAGCATTCCTGGCAGTCACTACCAATCTATCAATATTGACATTTTTCATCCCAGCTTTGCATATTCTTCAACATACTATGCCAAAATATTGAAATGGGTCTTTAAAGAAAGCCACTTCAGCCAGGTATGGTGGCTCACACCTGTAATCCTAACACTTTGGGAGGCCGAAGCACATGGATCACTTGAGCTCAGGAGTTCGAGATCAGCCTGGACAACACATAAAAATCTTGTCTTATAAAAAATACAAAAATTAACCAGGCATGGAAGTGTACACCTGTGGTCCCAGCTACTGTGGAGGCTAAAGCAGGACTGCTGGAGACCAGGAGGTGGAGGTTGCAGTGAGCTGAGATTGCTCCAGCCTGGCAACAGAGCAAGACTGTTGAAAAAAGAAAGAAAGAAAGAGAGAGAGAGAGAGAGGAAGGAAAAGAAAGCCACTTCATGACAGTTTTGAGACTAAAGAAAACCTATATTTAAACTATAAAATGATCATTTTTTTTCCTGTAAGACAAGAGGAAAACATAACCATAAACATCAATGTACTATAGGCATATGCTATTCCAGTGAGATATACAAGGGGTCTATATAAAAATGTTTACATAAATATTTTTAAAAATAGAATTTGGCCTTATTCAACCCAAACGCCCAGTCCAGGTCTAATCCACCCACTACCCTGTCACTCAGATGAGTGCTGGGCAGAACACAGACACAAACACAGCTCCATCTGCTAATTAAAAATGGGCATGAAACTGTTAACAGGCATCTGTTGCATTGTTTGAAGCTAATGGGCAGAGACAAAGCTGAAATGGCTCTTATAATGCAAACCCAGTGATTTCACTCATTTTCTATTTGGTATTTATGTTAGTGGGGGGTTGGAAGCTGGGTGTTAAAACAGCTTATTATGGAGACTGAAAGATAAGTGAAATATCTTTGATATTCTAAAACAACCCTTTAAAACTGATTATAGAAAGATATGCAGCATTTTATACTGGGGGAAGTAACATTCCTGTGTTAATTCAAATTAAACACTTTCTTTTCATGTTAACTCAAATATCATCTAATCATCTATAATACTATGAAAGAGAATAGTAACAAATTCAAGAAATGCTTTCCAGCTCATATAGGGCTTTCACGATTCAACCCTCCAGACATTTAATACAGGCCTTGGAGATTTAAAAGGTGAATGTGACTTGATTTTTGCCTTAAGGAGC